ATAAGCCAGCTCAGTCACAGATATGGGTCAGCACTGGCCACAGACAGTCTCATTTCTCTTAGACTCCCTTCACATAGGCAGGGAGAGCTGCAGGGAGCTCTCAGGAGCCAAAAGCCCAGTCCTAGCCACTTTATAGAAACATCTCCATGCCAAGAGCACGTCTCAAGAGTGCTTTTAACAGAGCAGTTAATATCCAAGCTTATGTTTCAGAGGGGGCAGGGCACCAGCAAAGAGCATTGACATTGAGCTATGGCTTCAACAGTTGATCGAAACAGTTTAATGCATTTCCATTTCCAGTTGCATGGATCCAGCAATGCTTCTTACTTATTTACAGTATCACCCCCTCCTCTCCTCCCTGCTCTTCTGTTTGCTACATAGATAACAGGGGAAATTGATGCTGACTACTGCCCGCCTGATGTACAGCGTTGCCAATGGGTTCAGCAGGATTTTAAAGAGGAATGAGTCAACAACGTGTGACCAGGAATAACATTTGCCAGTGTGTGAGCTTGAATAGGAAAACATATCTGTGCCCACCTGAACATTAGTTTAAGTGACAAGGGCAACAGATGCCCCAGCAGGATGTATTCTGACTGTCTTCCAGGACAGGGCAGAGCCAGACCTGCTGGTCACCAGCCCTATGGCAATGCCTATGTCTAGGACTATGCAATGGCTCCTGAAGTCCTGTTAACCATGTAACTGCCCTTCCAAGGACAATGTCAGTCTACTTTCCTGCTTACACCCGATATTCATTATGCTTTGAAGATAAAGCAAAATAATCCCCCTGCTGCTTAATGTGGCAAATTCTACCTAAGGGCAATAAATATAATCCCTTGGAGATCAATCCCAGATGATTGTGGATTATTATTTTTGATCCAGAAGGGGCCAAATTCACAAGTCATGTTATTCCAGGGAAGAAGACACTCAGGTTAATTCCTTTTCTAGTCTTTCTTCCTGCCAACAGCTCTCCTGCTGTGTGGCCCACAGATGAGAAACAGGATCATCTTTCAGACTTGACTATCTAAAACAAGATCAGCCCTCCTCTTCCTTCTTCCCTTCTTTGGGCACTTAGAGACAGCAAGACTTTTGCCAAAGACAAAAATGGCACCAACAAAAGTCTGCTTATCCAATGATCAGAATTTGGTGAACTAATTAACATCTCTCAAGAAAGTTGGGTGCTCTGCTACCAGGCTTTGGTGGTTATCCAAAGAGGGAGAACCTATCCAGGTGATCAAGTAAGGGCCTTGTAGCAAGTAGTGAGTGCTGTGAGGGAGGATGAACCAATCTGTGGGAAAACACTGGAGTAGATGTATCAAGGATCGGGTGTGATTAGACATGCAAGCTTGAGCTGGACTTTGACTAAGCTGTCCAAGAGTTTACAACATGCTGTTCAAAACTGACAAAGTAGCAAAACTGACACAGTATCGTTTAAGCGGGATAATGTTCTAGGATTGCAATTTACCCCACACTGTTCTATGAGGCTCTAACAGAGTAAATGTAATATTCAGCATGAAAGGACAGTCATCTCAAAGGCCAGTTATAGCAACAGGTAGAGTTTAGAGTCAATATTAATCTTTATAATTAATAGAAATGCTATTTTGACCAAGCTTTTAGGATACATGGCTAATATATTCTTTGCCATTTGTTATTATGTACTTGCAAAATTTGTATCTAGGTAGCATCCTTTCCACTGACCCTCACATACACACTATCTTTCCTCCTTCCATACATATTGGCTCAAATGACACTTTGTATTCCAAAAACCAGAGCGCTGCACATTTTCAAGCCCAGTGTGTGTTTTACAGCTTTACAGTATCTCATCTACACAGGGTGACCCAGCCCTGATTTTAAACCCAACTCTGCAGAGGATTCATTTTTTCTGCTGGGATTTTCTTGAGAGAGTACCTGGTCCTGAAAAAAGCCATGACAACAGCATCAGCAATAGCACTGGTATTATTAACAGCAGCGCTCTGCCCTTCCATTGCTATTTCTATTTCAAGATTTCAAAGTGCTCTGTTTATTGTGCCCCACAAATCCTTGAAGAGATGGGTCAGTTTTATTCCTGTTTTGAAGATACGGAAAAAGATGATAAGACAGTGCCACTCGAAGTGGCAGCCAGATAGATTCCTAGTTCTGACAAGCCCAATCTCTTGCTGTAACAGTATACAACATTTCTTCATCCTAACCACAGAGCTATAAGGCTGCAAGGACTTTCATGAACTTATTAATCTTCCAGAGTTCTACAGTTCTGACCAAGATGTCCAGGGAACGGACCATCCAGCCTGTCAGAGAGCTGATGATAGACAATTACAACTCCTAAGATAAAAGGAGAACAATTTCTGCTTGTAAAATACAAAAAATAATAAAAAGCCCAAACACTTTGGGGTTTTTTTGACAGCTGACTTGTTCTTTTTGCCTTCTTATTCTCTTTCCACTACTGCAGTGCAGTTGGCAAAGCCTATTTCTTGGGCTAGTTTGTTACAATACAGCACTATATGCATGAGGGTGAGGGGAGGAAAAGAAAAGAGAAACACAGAAACAGGTTCTGACATCTAATCAGATCTGCTGTATTGATTTTGCAACTTTAGCTTTGGAGCAAATCAGAGAAACAACCACATTATCACCCAGGATTCGCTCTTCCCTTGAGTGAGCCAGTTCAAAAGGAACTCACACCAACACATAAACAGGCACACCTGCACACACACACACACACACACACACACACACACACATGCACGTGCATGCCCATGTGGATCCACACCCCACCTAAGTGGCTCTCCGGTGGGATGCACAGGCTGGGGGAGGCGGGGGAAGTGCTCATCACAGAGGCTGCAGGAGCCACACGATTCCCATTTCTGACAAGATGAGAATTCCGGAGCAAGCCACTAGCCTAATGAGCTACCCACACTGAAGAGCAGTGTTTCAATTAACCACTGCGGCCACAGCACCCACCTCCTTCCAGATGCAATTCTTGCCCTACTTTCTTGGTTTGCAGTTTGTTTTTCCTGCTGATGGAAAGAGTAAATTGACAGCCGTGAAACCAAAGCCGCCTACTCAGGCACAGAACAGGCAGTGCCACCATAATGTCCTTCCACAGTGTCCAGGCAGGAGGAGACAGCTCAGGTGTACAAATGCTCAGTTCTGTCTACCCTTACTTGGAGCCGGGTGCTTACTGATGAAGGGATGAGGGCTGTTTGGGTGGGCTGCTGCATGGACCATGCCACCATTACTTGGGTGAGATTGCAATAAAGCATTGCTTGGCCTTGGGAAGAGCTATAAAAGAGTATGTTGAGTTGTTCTTCACACAGAAGTTCATTACATCTTTGCCTTCTTGGGGGTCACATCAAAGGCTCTGCTCCAGAACAGCTTCTGGCTTGTGGCTACCATCTTGCTTATGCGGGGAGCCCCAAGACTGAGGTCTGTGACCCCCTCCCAGACTACCCAGTAAACTTGATTTCAGCTCAGCACTGCTGCTTCCTTAGCGAGGACCACACAGCTATCAAACACCAACACCAAGCTGGAGACACACGCAGATCTGATGGTTCTTTGCTCCAGAGTGAGATTTTGCTGCATCTTCCATCAATCGCCCTCTCTGCCATGTCCTGCCATGCCCTATATGCCTGACCCCACCTGCCTTCCAAAACAGCTTAAACCAAGATGCACATTTCCACCTTGCTTAAGGGAAGCTTCTCCACACATACTTACCTGCATGGAAATCTGCATATATTCCCCTGGCCCCATTCTGTAATCTAATTCCTGCCACACTCCTAAATGGACAGAGAGAATTTTAGAAGGGGATCTTCGAATACTCAAAGTACCTGCAGGATTTCGCACACTTCCATTACTGCTGTGCTCCCAGAAGCTCATGTCTGTGAGTCTGGTTGGCTTCAGCAAGGTTATTCGCTCCGGTCTCACTTCTCTACTTCCCAGCGAGCAAGCCTGGGAGGAGTGTGGCAGCATGGCTAATGAAGGCTGCTGTGCTTTGCATGGAGGCTCGTCAGTCACAGCCCAGAGGCAGTGCACCCAGGGTGCAAATTAACCTGCTCTTTATACATCCCACACCTGCCAGAGCTGGGCTGCTCAGAGGCCTCTGCAAGAGTTCATCAATCGCAGTATCCCAATGAGATGAGGTCTACAGGGAGGACTACTCCTGCAGTTAGAGCTCCTTCCAGACCAAGCCATTTTACCTAGCTGCCTTCCCCTGGTCTGATTCAAAGTCTTGAAAGAGAAAGCACAGACCCCCACTTGTCAAAACACACCTCAACAGCATGGGAGCTGAGCATGCACTGAGAAGCCACTGCAGGGAAAGGGTGGAGACAGCCACCTAACATGGACACCAGCAGCATCCCTCCCTCTATGTTCTCTTTTGTGCACAGATACCACCTTCAAGTGGAGCTGGGAGCACCACCTATCACTAAAATCGCTCAATACACCACATGCTCAGAATCAGTTTTCTGTTACTCACAGCTTTATTGCATGGAAACCACCTGGGAGCATGCAGTCCCTGTTAGGGTCTGTCTAGCATTGCTTTTCAGGCAGAATGGTTCAGGCTTGTCCAGAAATGAAAGCTGGGACAACTATGTTGAAGAAACAGTTGTGGGCTGGAAATGGTCTAATCAACATCCATTTGCTACCTTTTGAGTGTTTTACTTTACAAACTTACTAACATGCCCTAAAGGTATTTTGCACATACGTAATGCACACAAACACACACCTGGTAAAGCTGCTGTTCTGCACTCATCCACTGACAGGGAAATAGAAAGCACTGTATACAAATCACACACAACATCTCTCCCTTCCACTTGCAACATGCTGGCCATGCAGTATCCTGCCCTTAGCCTTGTGTAGCCAAGACCAATTAAATATAAACTGTTCAAAGGTCCCCAGACAAGAGAGATGTGTCTGTTCAACCCAGTAAGAAAGGTCAACCCTGCTTAGCCCACAGGCTTTTGCGTACACAGGCATTCAGACAGGCGCTCCAGTACTGCATAGTTTATACTCACACTGCACACTGAGCTGCACCAGGGCTTCCCGGGGTCTGATGTTAAAGCCATTGTACCTGGCTGTCTGACACTTATAGGTCCCACTCATTTCTCGGCTCACGCTCTCCAGGCGCAGCTTCCCATCATACGTCTCCATTGTCATTGTCCCTGAAGGCATGGCGATTTCCTTATCTACCCGGGACCAGATGATGGGTGGCTTGGGCTTCCCACGAACCTCACACTGCAGCTCAGCTCGGGAGCCCTCCCGGACAGTGATTGTGGACTGACCCTTAGGGACGCTGATGGTTGGTGGCACTAGAAGAGAGACAAGAAGGGAACTGTTTTACAGTGAGTTTCCAGCAAGCAAGGAATAGTCTTGAGATGCTTGTGTTCAAATCACATCAACAGCCTTGCACTCCCAAGGTTTGCACTTGACACAGTGCAACTCCTATAGAAGCACACTGCCCATGTAAGTCATCCTACAGGGTCTGGAGCTGCAGAGCATCAGGGAAGATCCAATAATGTATCCCAATGTCAATGGCAAGTACTATCTGTACTGGGACATTCTCCCATCTCCCATCCCTCTGGTTGCAAAATGATGTCCAGCAGCATGGCTAGCACGGAGGAACCCAAAGGCAAAAGCCTCTTTGATCCACTTCTCCACCTCTGTTCGGTGAATTTCTCAAATAGAATTGCAGTCTTTTGGCCAACAAATAGAAGTCGTATCTGCCAAGGTATCTAGTTCATTTATACAGGTCAGATTGAAAAGACTTGTAGTATTAGTGCTTGTAGATTGCATTTCCAGCCTTATCAGACATCCAGGATCCCGGTTCACTCCTAAACCACGGCAAGGAGGCAGCTCTGTTATCTTTGTTATCTTTGGCTCACTCGAGCAAGAGATGGGTCCCAGCAAGATCACTTCTGGCGTCCTTTCCAGGCCAGGCTGGGAACAGCTCACCCAGCATAACTTCTCTCAAGACAGGGCTAGAGCTGGAGGCACAGTAATGCTCAAGGAGTATCCAGCTATCAACTGACAAAATAAACAAAGCTCAAAAGAAATCCAATAACTACACCTAAAGGGTGCAGAGGTGTTGGTAGGAAGAGGTTTGTTGTTCACATCCCCAACTCCACCAAGAACCAAGGAAGGGGATGTTTTTGCTAAACCCCATGGAATACTGACATTTTATTTGTATTAGGCTTCAGAGTTAGCAGTTCAGCTGAGGTAAATAGGGCTAGAACCATCTTCTGAAAGCCCTTCCTGCAGACTGTGGCCACACTTGGATTGACACTTCCATAACTGCAAGGGTCACGTACTTTGTTTCCATTTAAATCAAAGTTCAGAACTACAGAGTATGTAACAAGCTGGTCTGATGAATGTTAGCTCAATTCAACTCCAGCAAAGAAGAATGTGCTACAGTAATTGCACACGTTACAGCCCACAGCTGCTTTCCAAGCAAATTTAGGATGGCTCCAGACCAGTTTCTCTCCGCAGTGACCTTCCTATGCAACAGGGAGGCCACATTTTCAATTTGCAGGTCTCCTGTGGGCTAGGGAATCTCATCACACCCTGTCCTGCACAGCGTGAAAGGACGACAGCACGCTCAGTGCCCAGCACTGCCAGCAGCTGCTCACCCAGCGAGAGGTAATTTTCTCCATGGGGAAAAGCTGTAAATTGCATTTGAAGATTTTTTTTTTTTAATTAAAGCTATCTCCTCAGAGCTACTCAGTGGAGACAGCCACCTCAGGGAGCTCAGGCTTTGCTCAGCAGGGTAACTTGGAGCCACCACTGCCACCCTCTTGCTCTAATCCTGCAGCCTGGAGAAAACCCACTGGGTTTTTATGCGGGAACCACATGTCAGAGGTGGCTCATGTCCGTTTGTGGTGATGCCACACACTGGACAGCCTCAGCTGCTGCATGATGGGCTGCTCCAGTGGGAAGGGCCATTTTCATTCTCTGGGTCATAAAGCAGTCCCGATGGCCCAGGTTGCCAAAGAGAGGCATCAAAACGCTCCAGGCAGCCCTCCTGTCCTTCCCCATCAGCAGCATCCACATGAGCACGTGGGGCTCACCCTCCACCAGCTGGGCCACAGCATGGGGCAACCTGCCACCAAAGACAACTCCCCTGAGGCAGCAGCTGGCTGGCACCTGGACGAACACCTGCAGCTATAGACACTGTCCAGCTTTTTAGGGGGATTATCCAGGGTCTCCCAGACGTCCTCTGCCTCCTACCCTTGCAGTTTTAAACACAAATGCACTCTGCCATCTAGTGATCTTGGGCAAAAAGCATTGCTCCTGGCGGCAGCAACCACACAAGGTCAGGAGAGCCAGCTTTGCATCAGGACTGGGGGGTTCCCCAGGTTTTATTCCCTGCTGGCACGATGGGGATGGTGTCTGCTGGCAGAGAGCGCCCTATTTGCCAGGGGTGCCAACAGAAGGGAAGTACCACCCTTTGGTGTTTAGTAGGTCCATGGCACGGTCACATCTTGGTCTCCAGGCTGCTAATGAGCACTGGGCACAGTCCCACTGGGAACAGGCTGGCCCCAGCATTTCTGCTGGGAGACAGAGTCTTCCTAAAGCAACAAAAGCAGGCACAGCACCTTCTGGGGGATTGAAGTGAGCAGTGTCCAGAATCAAGACTGGGATTGGCCTGACTAATGGATCCAGCACAACTAGGGACCAAGAAGAAACTTTACATGAAGATTCAGGGAAAAATCTTTGAGCAGCTGGCCCCCTCAGGAGTCCTCACCAGATCACTAGCCCAGTGCTGCTTTGTGCCATACCCTTAAGGTCCTGGAAAGGCAACAAGATGACATGGATGTGACGGAGAGCAGAGCTGGACCCACCACTTCCACAGAAACAAAAAGACAGCCATGAGATCCTGCATTTCAGTCCCCAAGGTGATGGACAAGCACACTTACAGATTAGTCCTGTCCTCACCACACCATGGGGTGAAGCTTTGACCCTGTTTTTATAGGGGGGACGCATTTATAACACTTGGACTCCTACTGAGAGTGCCCAAACCAGATTACAATTGTAATCCAGTAAACATTAAAGCTCTTCACATAAATTGCTATGGCAGATGATACCAGTCTCCTGGCCACAGCTCTGTAAAAAGGGACGCTCCTCATAAGCAATGCCATAGAGAAGAAAGAGCAACTTTCTCTTTTACTTCCTTTTAAGCAAAGGGACATTTGAAATATGGCGACATAACACCCCCTGTTTCTTTCTTCACAATTTAGAGGCTTCTTTAAGCAATCATACACTAAACCTGTCTCTGTAGCTTTGACTGGACTGCACTTTGGACTTTTCATAGGGAGAAAACATGAAGATCTGCTCAGTGCACAACAAATCCGGCAGAGAATCTTTAACTATTACCCATCTCCAGTCTCAGCCAAATGCTTGCCTGAGAATGTGACACTTTTTCCCACTAGGATTCAAGACACTCATGTGAAATTCTTCAAAGAAGCCAGAGGGATGGGGGGGGGCAGCTAGTGATGCCAACCACTCTCTTGGGGTCCCCAGCTGCCACAGAGAGGCTCACCTGTTTCTGAGGAGATGTTCACCTCTACGCTGAGGTCAGGAATGGGTGCTCCCTGGAAGGTAGCCACACACAGGTAGGTCCCATAGTCACTGAACCTCAGGTCAATAATCTCCAAGCTGCAGGTCACAGGTGGGAGCTCAGGGTCATTCCTGGTGATGAGCAACCGGTCTGAGAACCTGGCTGGTTTCCCATTCTTGTACCAGGAATACACAACCTTCTCCTGGGGGACAGCATCCACATGGCAAGAGAGCTTCAAATCCTGCCCTAACTGGATGGTCTCACTCTCTTTGATCACATCAGGGGTGATTTGGAACGTGGCATTCTTCATGGCTGGGACAAACACAAGTAAAAAACTGGTTAGGGACAGCAAAATGTCTTGCATGGGACAGGACAACATGCTCCTCTTTGCTCCTCAGGGAAGCAACACCTCCATGCAAAACATGCCTCAAGACCTCCCCCAGTTACGCTCCCATAATAGATCCCCAGGGCCTCACATCTGGCAGCTTGTGATCATTCTCTAGTTCAGGACAGTGCTACAGCCTGGGATGAGGCTGCAAGTAGCGCTAGCACAGCTGCTGGTCTGGCTTGCACAGCAGCTTTTCCAGAATACTGATCTCTGCTAAGTATCACATTCACCCTCAGCTGTACAAGAACAGCCAGGAGAAATGAGAATCTAGCCCCTCCACCCTGAAAACCCATGCTCTGAAATAAAAGAGCAACTTACATCGCACCAGAAGGTTCACTGTCTTCTTTGCTGGGTTTCCCACGTTGTTGATGGCTGTGCAATTGTAGTAGCCTGAGTCCTCCACCTGGATCTTCCAGATAGTGAGGTTGCCTCCCTGCACAAGGCTGTTGGGAGGCATTGGGCCAGGAGAGTGAGACCAAACCACCTCTGGCTGTGGGTCACCACCCATCAGAGAGCACTGCATAGTGATGTTGTCACCAGGGTTGACCACCAGTGTCTCATTGACAGACAGCTTCAGAGCAGGTGGCGCTGAAAGAGTACAAAGAGGAGCTTGAAAAATACCCACCCACTTGACTGTGAACAGCTTCATACTTCCTAGGATTTGTTCTTGAAGATGGCTAGTCTGAGTAGGGAGAACTGGAGGGATCCATGAATTCTTTACAAATACCAGGTGTTTGTGAACCTGAAGTATTACCATTACCATGTCTTTGACTTAAGAGCACCCTGCTCTGTTATTGTTAGGAAACACCGCAGGCAGGACCTCACACTGCACCAGAATGGATGTCACATCTGAAACTCTTCACCACTGGTGCTTAGGACTGTGGCACAAGCTAGGTATAATATGTTAGCGGTGTTTAGTGCAGGTTCATTAGGCTTGGGACTGAGGTCAGAAAAGCCTGATGAAGCTCCTTTACACAAGGAGGAATAGCAACCAGACAAAATTCAGCAGCTGAAAACCCAAGGCTAGAGGCTTCTTGACTCCTGATGCAAACAACTGCAGCAAGGCAGAAGGGCAGTGGAAAGCTGCTGTGGCTCCACATTACTTACCTGCACTGCACCCAGCCCACTCCCCTGCAGACCCCACAGTGCTTTCTGTTCTCCCTGGATGGAACTCTCCTGACTCTAGGCAGGCCCTGCAGAAGCATCAGGGGAGAAAAGGCTCAACTGGTGGCTCCTACTAGAGCACCTGTATCTCCTTTGCTGCAATGCCATTGTATGAATCACAGTTACTCTGCTTTATGCCTTGGTTAGAAATGGCACACTGGACTGAGCCCTGAGAAAGAAAGGGGAAAAAAAAAAAAAAAAAAAAAAAAAGGGGCAGGAGAACAAGAGACATATTGTCATAAGGCATGGGAAATTGCAACCATGGATTGAGCTCAGCATCTCAGGACCTGATCCAAAGCATGCTGAGAAGCTTACTGGCATGTCAGTGTTTGCTGGACAGTTCTCATAATCCTAAGGGAAGGTCAGGCAGAACACCAAGTGCATGCCCAGTCACAGCCTGCTCCTTCTGCCTGACCACCAGAGCTCTCTACTCAGATGGAAAGGTGAAGGAGAAAGGACAGGTTGAAAGGAGCCAGTTTGAATCCAGCAGCTGTTTGTGTTTGAAGACAGTTGGGATTAAACCACATCACAAAGAGATGCCACCCCAAGAAAGGGTTTTGGGAAGATCTAAGGACCTCAGCTATCCCATGATATGCCTCTCCATCTCTCACACCCAACAAGATGTCTTTGAGCAGCAAAGCCTTTGCCAGGCAGCTGGCCCTTGCAGCTCAGAGAACCAGGACCTGTCTGCACCATAACAGACTATTAACAGCAGCTCTGCACCTGCTCTTAACCTCCTTCACCTCCACAGGCATCATATACACTTCTCTATAGATGTGGGGGCTATAGACCAGGTCACAGGGATTGTCTTTTGTGCACAGCTGAACAACTGGGACTGATCCAAAATGTCTAGACAACCTCTCCTTTGAATACCTGAGTACCTGTTTTGGTTTATTTTATTTCTGTACCCTTTTCACTACATCCTTCCTCCAAGAACTGATCAAAAAAACTTCCCTTTGTATTCTTTATCTCATCCCATGAAAATCCTTTTAAAAGCCCTTGTCAGCACCATCACTAGCTCCATCCAGACAGAGCTGAGAAAGTAGCAATCCCCAGCACAAAGGCGGGGAGTATGTTTTAAGTAACAGCCATAATAATGCAGAATAAGACATTGTTCCATATTCATGAAGCCTGATTTAACAGCATCATTATTTCTGCCTCTTCCCTCCCTGGACCCTGCGTTAATGAGCTGTGCTGGATTTGTGTTGGATCTCTGAATTACAGCCCATACAAACAAGGCGAGGAGGGCTGCTCTCTCCTCAGCACCAGTGCTGTAATTTAGCAGTGCAACTACTGCCATGCCAGGATATTACTTTGGTGCACTGAATCAAATATCTTCTCTCCGGCCACAGTGCCTGCTGTTTGTGCCAGAGGTGGCCTAAGGAGGAAGGTGGCTCCTCTGCCACCTGCACTGTTTCATTTTGAGGCCAGTGGTTGGAGTCCTTGAATTTCATGAGGCCACAACCTGCACTCACAGCCTTTGACGGGTGTCTCTGCTGGAGTCTTGGAAACAGTGTGCAAGGGTTAATGTGCGCTAATTGCCAAAGGAAGGATTTGTATGTCCTCTCCAAGCTCCAGGTGGTTTCACAAGACACTGTGAAGCCCAGGAACACAATAGCTCAACTCACCACGGTCAGGCAGGACACATTTCTGCCACTTGCAGGCTGTCAGCTGAGTGTTCAAATAGCTATTCCTGTCCTCTGACATTGAATGGGTCTCAGGTTCACATGGCACAGCCAAACTGACAGATGCACCACCTTGCCTGGGAATCTCCACCCATCCCCGTCAGAGCCAGAGAAAGTCTGAGACCAGCCTATGTCCAGAGAGAAGATGTCAGAGCCTGGGAGCACAAACCAGAGATCCTGCAGACTCCGGTTAAGGATTAGGGCTCTTGCAGTGTTTGATGTGCACATCTCTGATCAACACTCATCTTGCCCAGTTCTGGGCAAGGCAACATGGAAAAAAAGTGACATGCTGGTGCAAACACTGCCTCAGGGCAGGTTGTGTTTGCATGAAAGAGGGAGGTAGGGAAACTGCTAAGCTTGCCACCGGCACAACTCCAGGCAGCAAGCTCTCATGACATAGCCCAGAATGGAGCCCTGGCTGTGGCACCGTGCATGGGCTCCCACTTCCACTCCTGTCTGCAGACAGAGGTTAACATTCTGCAGACATTGTTATGCAGGAGATGAATCTCATTTATTTGTAACCTGTGGCAATTCCTTTTGTTCTTGGCTCAGAAAACCTGCTGGCGGAGTCTGCTGAGCAGCAAGGGGACCATTAAAAACAAAGAGTCGCTTTCAATTCCCTTTGAAGTCCAATTTGCTGCAGTAAAACTGCAAGAGAATTAACCTGCTGGGCTGCTTAATTTTGCAGAAATCGAGGAAAGGGAAAACAACAGCCTGACCCTGCTGGAGAAGGTGATGACAGCCAAGTGCCGAGCTGGTCCTGTGGCTCTGCAGACCCAACCTAAAGCCACACTAAAGTAGCAGGACAGAGGAAGAGCAGGGGGAACCTCCTTCCCGTTAAGGTTGCAGACCAAGAACCCATCCCATCCCGTAAGGGCCAAGCTGCTGACACAGAGCTTGGGAGAATCACATCTCCTTGCTGGAGACTACAATATGCCCAAAGGCCACTGCCAGAGGAGCTAAGGTGAGGCAGCTGAGGAACAACAAACGGACTGGGAAGAGAAGATTCCTTTGGCCTGACATGACCTGACCCAACAATTCCCCTCAAGGTCTGTAGTTCTTGGGTCTATAAATATTTAAGAGATCGATTTCCATGCACCTCTACACACTTTGGGCTGCCCTCAGTTGCAAAGGTGAAGGCAATCCTGTGCAAAGCTGCTCAGGATTCTGGGCACAGCCAAGGCTATGGAGGCTGCTAAGGCATGAGAGAGAAAGAAAAGACATATGCAAAAAAGGAGGGAATGAAAGATTTTTCTTTAACTATTTTCTCATCTATGCGCAATACTATCTACAGGGCAAGTAAGCCAGATAATATTTCATGTTAAATATATTGTGCTATTTAACACAAACCCTGCTCACACCACAATGCCAGCTTCATTTTCACTGCCAGCTTTTAATACAATTTGCTAGGAACACATTTTCCATGGTCTCTTTGAGCTTTTAGTGTCAGGCTCTACTGTAACTTTGTATAAATATGCATTTATAACTAAAAAAAAGGAAAAATTAACTAGATGTATGTGCTACATGGTCCAGGTTCAGAGCTTAGGTATATACTTAAAAGGATGGTGCAAATTCAGCCACATTAGGCTTCTGATCTGGCTACAACCTGAAAATACATTTTCACCATTCACTCAGTAAAGGGCCTAGACTGAAATGAAGGGTAGTTTCCCTTTGCTTGGGCTGGCAGGAGGCAGTGGATATGAAGAGAAATTTGACTTTCTAACTCTTCAAAGGTAAAGACACAACAGAGAAGAGCAGCTGTACGATATCCTTTTTTTCATCACGAGCACAAAATAAGTTTTTAAAGGGAATATTCCAGCATTTCCTACAGTCTCATCCTGAGAGAAATTCAGGCAGTGGTGTGAGTTGCTTGAGACATGTTCAGAGATCTTACTACACAGAGAATATTTTTTTCTGACATTAGCTATAGTTCACTTTCTTAAGCTCATTACTTTTCTTCTTTCTACATAAAACGATGCAACTATTGTTCAGCACCTGTTCAGCTCAAGTCGGATCAATAAACATAATTAATACAGTATCAACAATATCCTATCAACAGTTGGCAACATCAAAAGAGTTCTGTTTCCACTGCACAAAGATGACACAAGGGATGCACACTGCTTTGTGTTACATGAGAGAGGTGAACCATTCAAACAACTACCATGCCTTTCTTTCTGATCATGGAATACCCCAGCACCGGAAGCTACTTCCTGACATTTACTTATTATCTGAAAATATTCGACACATGTGGAGGCTTTGCAGGTGGGGATTTTTTGTAGGTGTGGTTTTGCTTTGTTCTGGAGGTGGGGGTGTGGTTGTTATTGTTTTTAATGGACAGGTTGCAACCAGGTTCTTGCAAGTATTTGGTGCATGATACTCAGTTATCAGTCAGTTATTGCAGGTCAAGCAAGAGTCACCAAGCTGATTCTGTTCACAACTGGCGGCACACTCAAGCACTGCCAGTATGAATATCAATGTAAAATTTATTTATTGGGAAGGCATCAGAGATACTTGTCTTCCACAAACATTGGCACCAGTGGAGCCCGTTAACTGGGAGGCGCTGAGAGCACAGCCTGGCAAACCAGGCCAGAGTCACACATGAATGAATTATCTGTAAGAACTGCTGCAGCATCTGCCCCACTCTAGACTGTATTGAATCTATTTTTAAAGTCACTTAGAATTATAAATAAATAAATCAGTGTCTGGATTAAAAACTACATAGTGCCTCAACACATTCATGTAGTCTGCTTTAATGAACTCATGGCAGTCCTGGCCTAGGCACCGTCTATACACAGAGCAACAAGAAATGAAAACATCCTTGGCCACAAAACTTCTGCATGAAGGATTCATAATCCCAGCAGTCATGTACATGAATGTTGGGTGCTGCAGGACCTGGATGGGGTGTTGTGTTACCATCTTGTGTTACCCTCTTACCTGTGGTGTTTGTGAGCTGGAAGGTGATGGATTTGTCAGGGATGCTGCAGACATTGCGAACAGACACCTGGCATGTGTAGCTGGCATAATCCTGGGGCCGCAAGTTCTTTAGCTTCAGGACTTTGGTTTCACCCTGAGAGTTGAGAAAAAAGTGGGGAAAGAATACACAGGTCTACAAAGCACAGCTCATCATTGCAAGCCCAGCCTGTCCCAAAGTTTACAGATTACCAGCAGCTCCCATCAAAACCTCTGGGAACTGTACAGACTCCAAGTCCCCCTAGCTATACGTATAAAGGAGACATAAAATGTTTGGAGTGGCAATTCCATCTCCAGGATTTCTCAAAACACCCAGCAATGACTGACATTTAACCTGAAAGCACTGCCAGACAGATCTAGGCATAATTTCTCATCAACTGCTGCCAGAATCTTGTGGAACTTGAAAACCTTAAATGTCCCAGAACTGAGCCTGAGATCTCACACCATGATGTCGGAAGGAACCCAAGCAACATCACTGGTTTCTCAACATTGCAAAACCAAAGTAAATCAGAGCAGATTCAGGTGTTAATGCTGGCCTAAATATGACAAGTTCAACAGTAATGCTGTAAAAATTTGCAGTACAGGGGAAAAAATGGTAATTCAGATAAATACTCAAAGAACCCCCCCAAACTTTCTGATCTCTTTTCTCCAGATTCTAATCTCATTTATGCTGGTGTAAATCCAGAGTGACTCCGTGGACTCTGATAGCTTTTTCTTATACTACAGTAACTAACAAACAAACAAACAACAGCACTCCCTGACACTTCATTAGTTACTGGTTTGTTATAGCAACAGGATCACGTTGTTAATTTAACAATAGATGCATTCTGTAGATTTTTATTTATGGACAGTGGAAAGCTCTGAGATGCACTGTGTGGTTTGTACACCCTGCAGCTCATAGGTCTTCCCATGATAGTTTGCTGCTGTTCTTCTCCTTGTGTTTGCCTAAATCTCTTTTGGATAAACCATTCCATAATTGCCTGCAAGTGTGAGAAGGTGTCAGCATGACAAATCCACTTAAGGACAACCTCAAGGGACTGGACGATGAGCTCAGGCATACTAATATGCAGAGAACAAGGATCTGAACTGAGTAAATTAGGAAGATAAATACGTAGGAGACCAATAACCCTATGAAAGTCCTGTCCCCTAAGATTTGTTACTATACCACACAAATGATAGCATTTACAATGTGCATGTCGACTACTTACTTATAGGGTCATACGTATCCTCCTTATTGATTAGTACATGTTGGGTAAATGTTATAAACCTTCAGTATAAAATAAATTTTAAAAAGCTTAAAGTCTTCATCTCCTTTTTAATGTAAAAGCCTACTCAAACCTGACACTGATACCAGTTCATCTCCAAGACAATGTTACAAACCCCTGCAAAGGTTTGTTAAACATAGTGCATTTGAGCTCCAGTAAGATTCTCCCCTCCCAGCAGTGTTGCAGAGGGGTGGTTTTCTTCAACTCTTACCAACCCAAACTCACAGGTTTATGCTGGTGCTAAGGAGAGGACCATAAGGGCACACCTGTTATCACAGCAGTCCAAACATCCTTTCTCAGAGCTGGGAATGACCCATCATGGTGGGAACACTGCCTGACAGGAGCTGCAGGATGCTGGGCCATTTACGTGTTAAAGCTGCAACATGGTGAAATTCTGCCAGATGCTTTATTTAGCTGAAGAAAATATCTCAAGTTCTAAGACATCCTCTCATTAAGCAATGTCTCCTGTTAATTACACTGAGCTTAGTGATATCTGAAAGAGCTCATGGTGGCTTCCTTTGAGGCCAGGGATGTCGTGGTTGGATGCCACATAGCACTGGACTAGACAAAGCAGGGCTGACCTACAGCATTTCTGCAGATCTGCCACTAACTTGCAGCTCTGTTCCCTCTCCTCATCCCCCTGAATGTTTGCATTTGGCTGCCCATTTCCATGACCTACAGAGATGGCATGTTTCAATAAAATATGAACATGACTACATTAACTGAAAGGTTGCCTGGAGCACTGCTCGGAAATCAAACTCAGACAGAATGCGCTCAGGGCCCAGCTTTGGGACCATGAGGAGGTGCGTGGGATGAAACGGGTACCCTTGGGAGCTGCCCTTTCAGCCCTCCCTTCCCACCCATCACTGCCTCATGCTGCCAAACAGCCTTGCTGGAAGCACTGGGGCTGGTTAGCATCTGAAGGACATTCAGAGGCAGAGCTCAGCTCAAGATAACATAACCAGGGTGCCTTTGCAAAAGAAAAATTCCCCTCCATCTCCCATTGTGTTGGTGGGCTAATTACTGTGAAGAAAGTGCTGTTCAGAGGGACAAGTCCAGCATAGGCAGGCAGGAGAAGCAAAAAGGATGTGGATGCCCTGTCACAGAACTACAGTCAGAAAGTGCCAAGGCAGTTGGGCTGCCTCTGTTACTTATGTGCATTAGGAAAAGCTTTTTATCATTTGCCTCATGGATCCCACAGCAACTCCTGCCACTCAGTCACAGTGATAAACAGGAAGCAATTCCCTTGATTTATGGAGCTTGGGCACCCAAGACAAAAAAAAAAAAAAAAAAAAATTCTGGGATATAGAGGAGACCCAATCTTAGTGATTGTTTGCTTGGATTTTAGTCTCAGTCATCCAATACCATGTAACCTCATTAGGGGATCTGTGACCTGCTCTCAGGGACAGTGCCAAAAAGGGGAAGGGACTTCTGGCTGTCATGCTTCCTTCTGCTGCTCCGCTCCTCTTGTCCCCTGAGAACCCACATACAGAAGTAGGTTCTACCAGCCCTTCTAGAGACAGTGCTCCTTGCAGTGGCCACCACCCTCTCCCCAGCACCGTAACCCACACAGGGAATCAAACACCATCCACTACAGAGTGCTCTGCATCAGCAAGATGCTCAACACAAGCTGGTGGAATTTGGTCTTTTTCACCTGTGTGTAGAGGGGTTCATAGATGTCCACACCATTGTCCTGACTGTGGGAAAGCGTCTCAGCTCCCCGTTTCCAGATGAAGCGAGCTGGTGGGTTGGAGTTGACAGTGCAGCGGAGGAAGACAGTCTTTTCCTGGTAGAAGCTGCCCCGTACATCACTGATGGTCTGGTGAACGGTGAGAACAGGTTCATCTAGATCTGGAAGGAAGGTAAGGAGGGCCGCAGCAGTTGTTAGTGAAGCTTGGTCTGCACATACAGCCTACAGAGCAGATGATGCTCCAGGCACCACAGAGGAAAGAGGAAGCTCCCACATGTTTGGCTGATGACAACTGCTGAATTAAGAGCTGATCTGAGGACAGGTAATACAGGCAATATCTAAAGAGAACACACAGGAGAAGCCAAAATTCTCCTGCTCACCACACAACCTTCAGAGAATAGAAAGCACCCTCTGGTTTGCAGATCCCCCTGTAGACCTCAAGCAAACCGCCTGTCTGCCACATGCTTCAGACCAGTGGGATGCCTCACCTTCCTCAGTGGCACCCCACACCCAAAAATCACCACTCTCTCACTGAAGTAGAGGTCAGAAGGATCCCAGGAAACTCTGCTCCATCATAATTTCTTCTGCTTCCACTTCCACTTTCCAGATCCCTCCTGAAATAATAGGGCTAAGCCCACAGTTGTGAGATGCCCACACAAAGTACATGACAAACCTTCAAGTAAGAGTGAAAATCAGGACAAGATCAAGGAGCTGAGATGGAGAGTCATCTCCCATACTGGAGCAAGTCTCATGAGGTGCTATGGGAACATGAGATGAAAAACACTGTGATAGGTATGTACAATTTCTCTCTCTTCCTATTAAAATATCCTCTCTGTATTTCTTCTTTTCAAGGTCTGTACTGACTCTCCCTCTTCAACAGCTTGTACTCACTGCATCCCCATCACCCACCTTTAAATCGATCAGATTATTTTGTTTTCTCTACAGAAAACGCTCCTTCCAATTCCCTCATCATACCTGCACCAGACACGCAGCTGTCATGAATGTCATTTCACTTGAAAGGACACAAGCAATAGCCCTGCAGGGAGCATACTTTCTCCACCCACTCAGAGGATCCACACTGCTCCCCAAGGGTTGCCCTCCTCCTAAAGAGGGGTCATTTTCTTGGGCTTTTGTACCAGACATCAATGTTTGAACATCAAGGAAGCATGGGAAAAACCTCGGAGGGGATGGAGATCTTTCTCCTCCAAGAACCACTTTGAGACTGATTGGGGTTAAATGTAAAGATTCCATTTGACAAGACGGAACCAACAGGCCTCCTAAACCTGAAATCTGTCCCTGTGCCCTTAAGCATGTTTTATAATGCATCTGTTGAACTCAGCTGCAGCAATTCTACATTTTCAGGAGTCTTATGACCCCATGTTCAACTGCGAGGAAACTGAGGCACACACATCCAGTATTCTCTTGTACTGCCAGCACCGTCTTCTGCACATGTTATCAGAGAGGAAGAGGACACGTGCTCATCACCTCCTTTCCTATGCCACCTAATTTATTTTAGAGATTCGTAAGTCTGGAGATTTGACTCACAGAAAGGAAGAGGGAAGCAGGAATAAGTTTCTGTTAAGGTGTCATCCAAATCATAGATGTTCTCTGCTGAATCACAAGTGTCAACTTGTAGATTTGCATATTTTAATGAGCTGTATGTTTGGTAGACAGCAATTGTAATGGGACCTGAGATTTCTCTGCTTGACCACACCATAGCAGTGATGTGAGTAGAGCCATTAGCAGAACAATGACAAGGCACAAAAAAACCTCCAAAAACCCCCAAAACCCCAAGACTGAAGGAAAACATACATAGGTGGAAAAAAGGCTCCTCTCCATACAGTGCTATCTCCATGTGGCCATGGGATGACTGAGTAATGCTGTGGCTACTATCCTTCTGAGGCCCCATTTCTCAGCAGGATGCGTGGCAAAACACTTCCCTTACTGATCAAAAGATACTCACCATTCAGGTCTCCTGGCTCCCAGCTACTCCTCACACAGAAAATAACATCTTCCTTTCGGTTACTAAACCTTTCTTCCCTCAGATCTTTCAGCCTTCTTTCATAGCAGTCAGCTCAAAGTCTAGCCCTCCCGAGAATAGCTAAAATAAACCCTACGATGATATGTATGTCCTTGATGTACGAGTAATGCCACTGATGTCAGTGAGCTGCACGAATGATAAATTTGGCCCAAGGCTGCTCATGGAGATGATCACATGGGATGTTTCATGTGCAATAAGCTTGTAAACATCCATTCTTTTTTTTTTTTTCTTATTCTCTCTCCCACATGGAAATACTCCAAACAGCAGCTGCCTCTCTGCCAGTATCTAACCAATACTTTAAGCCTCACTTCATGCCCACTTGGGGCAAAGGAATAACTAGCTACACAGGCTAGTGTTTCCAGTTTAATATCCTCTTGGCACAAAAGGTTCTCTCTGCACAACCTTGCTGTCTAACAGTAAAAGTATGAGAGGACAGCACTAGCTGTCAAGAACACCAGGGTTCACATGAGGGTGATCACTTACCTCTAACTACAAACTGGGATGCAGGGAAAGAAGGGGTTTGCTTTCAAATTCTGGTTCATTCAGCTGAAGGTTGCCTGGGTGAGCGTTCCACAAAAACTGTGGCTTTTCCTACGTGTTCCCTTGTACCTACTGCAAATACTAGCAGAAAATAGTCTCTCCTCCCGAAAAACCAAGTGAGCAGAACAGAGGTGCATTACCAAGTCCATCTGCAGAGTAGATGTTAGTATGAGAAAGCCCTTGGCTACCCCGTTAGCCCCATAGTTCTACAGGTCAGAGCTGCACGAGGGACCATGGGACACTACATCACTCTAGCTCCAGGCTGCACCCCAGAAGTAAAGGGAGCACCCTCAGGGCATAAAGAGATTCACGCTATAGTCCTGTTCCTTGAGACACCGCCTCTGGCAAGGTGTCATACCGAGTCTTGAGAAAAGCAAGTCCCCTTTGCAGTGGAGAGTTACCATATGCCTCCATCACATGTAGGAAAAGAAAGGGGAAGAAGCCAAGAAGATTTAGGTGGGTGTCAGAACTCCTCCAAACAAAGCTATGCAATGCGTATGAAGAAATTGCTGCTGCTGCTGCAATCTATTTTCCCAGCCTGTAGGATAGTGCTCACACTACACTACTCCAATACAGGGTAGGGCAAGAAAGGAACAGAGACAAGAGCCGCTCCAAGTCATATGACACAACTGGGGATCATGAACCTGTCGAAGCCTAAGGATGTTCAAGCCTATAGCAAACTTTGTGAAGAGTCACATCATTGTACGGCTGAATAGTAGGACTAAGAGGAAGCAGTCAGGCAGCTGCTGTCAGCAAAGCTCTGCCCAGATTCCAGGCAGGTACTGGGGCTTTGAAGCCTGGAGGTTACTCCACTGACAGATAACCACAGTGCACCTCAGCACAGAAGACTGTCTTGCTAGAAGGAGTAAGGGAACAGGTGGTGCCAGGTTCAGAAAGAGCTACAGCTGCTTTATCACACTTTACATCTTTTTAGCATCAACCTCTTGCTGGCTAGACCTTCTCAAAAGATATGAGTGAGGAGAGGGATTTAGTGTTACTTGGACTGGAGAAAACTGGAATAGTGGATAGCCAGGGACAATGAGCAGAATGGTAATCTTCCTCAAGAGGGCAAATCTCTTCAAAAGTTGCCTAGACCTTAAATCTTGGATTCCTCCCCTATGGGGGTTATGGGATGTTTAAATTCCCTCCCTTTTGGTCACAACAGCCCAAGAATAAACAACATTAAGCCAGCATGAGAAACCTTCAAAACTTCAGCCCAAGGTGGAGAACCACTAACAGCATCTCCAGGACACAAGAAAGATGGGCCTTGCAACCAGACAGAGAAACGTTGAGTCACTGGAGCCAAGGTGTCCTCAGAGATTCCTTCACGTTCACCCCTTCACAGCTCAGACTCCTCAGGTGCATCTCAGAGTCTTTTGCTCTGTTTCCACCATGATACAGAGGTAGCAATGCTGGGAGCAGGGCACTGGTTTCAGGAATGTCACAAGCATCTGAGACACTACAAATTTCAAGAAGCACTGGTTTGCTTCAAGCATTGCCACCTTCAAAATGAAGACAAAGAAAGCAGAAACCATCTACAGTGTTACATCCCAGACAAGTGTTAGGGAGCCCTGGCAGCGACAGACAGCATGGCACCTAGATAAGAAGGACTCACATAGACAGACAAAGCTATCTTTTTCATGGATGGATCTAATCTCCTAGGGAAAATGGACCCTGGGGACACTGCATTAGTCCCTTTGCTCCTGAAACAGGTACGTGTGGTCCTAGGGCAATGCAGCTCCCTGCTGGCCCTGCAGCGAGGCAGAGACATGCAGTAGAACTGTGGGAAGGCCTGGGTTGCCGCTAAACGACTTACACTGCACATCTACTCGAATGGACTTGATGGCAGGGACCCCAACCCCATTTTCTGCTTTACAGTAATAGCGGCCCCCCTGCAGCCTTTGGATCTTCTCAATCCGAAGGGTCTCGTTAAGCACTGACGTCTCTTGGAATTTGTCCGACGCGCTGCCAGCAGTTTTGGTCCATCTCACCTGCACAAGAAGAATGAGAAATGCAAATCAATCAGACACTCAAACTATAGATTCCAAGGGACAGCAGTGCTCCCTTTTCTCCTCTTACCCCTCCTCCCTAGCCACTCTCAAAAATGAGCTTCACAGCACCACCAGTTACCAAACTTACCAAAGTTCAGCTACTGTCTCAACAGACCAGCTGCTGATTCTCATCCATCACCAATCCCCACGTCTACTTGTTGAGGATAACCCCTACGTTCACACATTGCATATTTACCACTCCTGCTCTGGTCCTGTAAACCCATCATCCTGCTTAGTGTTATACCACTATCTGTACAACACAGGACTTTCAGCATTAAGCCTTGGGGCCCCATGTGGTTGGTAGGCCATGAAACTACAGCAGACATCAGCTCACAGCCACAGAGCTTTTATTGCAGTCAACACCCTTTCATCTTTCTCTGGACAGCAAAGCTATTTCTCCTGTTTGCTTTTCCAAGTAAGAGTGAGAAAACACCGTTGCTATCTGCCTCATGCCCCTTTCCCACAGGGAACCCCTGTGTATGTTATTTTTATAAGTCATCCTTTTGCAGTACACAAGCTTTTACTTTGATTTTAAAGATACAGCAAAAGAAAAGAAAATGTCTCTTCAGATTTCCAGCTATCTTGCATTTTTTATCCTTCTGCTACATGTCTTAAGATCCTGGCTTGTGGGTACAACGGAGCTGTATGATATTTCATGGTGAACGGTGGCAAGAGGACAGCACTCCTAAAGATTGAATGGTTATTCTTATGTCTGGAATGAGGTACAGCCCTAGCAGTACAAGCTTCCCCCTTGTTTTCTGCAGTCCAGACAATGAGAGATGGCTTTTTTCAGCCCACTGATTTTCTGTATCTGCAACCTCCCATCTAGTTGGTGACTGGTGGTCTTCCACACTGGTGCCCATCTAGACTCTGGAACTGAGATCCAGAAAGATCAACCAACAGAAAGAAGACAGACTTTCATTCAACACTGGCCACAGATAAGACAGACCAGATACCTTGATCACTCTGCCAGACTTTGCCTAAAGCTCACTGTCATCATCTGATTGATGTTGATGCTCTAGAAAGAGAGAGGTGTCTACATCCCACTCTCAGTACACTGGGCTGAGCAGATTGTCAAAGTTAATGACCATGGATTTATTTAGCCTTTGTAGGTTTATTATGAAATTGTTTGAGGGCTCCAAGACTCTCAGAGTCTCCTGTTTGCAAGGACACTTCAACCAGCTCTTTAATCTTTTCGATTTCAATCTCATTTAAGTATTTTGGCCACATTTTCATGCGTTAATGACCAGCTGATAGAAGGGAAAAGAGAAGATTAAACAAAGGTTAGGGTAAGAGCTTAGCTGGGGAAGAAATCTATCCACAAGAAGGGAGGGAAGAGAGAGGACACATGCCACGTTTTATGTGTGCAGGTTCTAACCTCCCTGGTCACACATGGTGTCCCCTGTGCATGTCCAGGCAATGACAAGCCACAGTGTCGCCCACTAGCATGCTTTCTGCATCCGGCTCTGCTCCAGCAATCTCTCTGGCTGCTCAGGCTCAAACCCCCACAGCCTGCCAGCACCTTCCCACCAACATCCTCAGATGGGGCCAGCCCTACCATCTTCCTCATTTCTGACATACACAGTGATCATCAGCCCACAAATGTCACAAGCCTAGGCTGGTCATTTTTGTTGGCTTGGCTCAGATAATTTCCTTTTTATTCTTTCCAGGATATGTTTTGAGGGATAAACCATTTCAAATCCTGCTGGCTAAGTCTATCTCCTTCTTTGCCATCGCCTCTTAGCCAAGTAGCTCCTCACAAACAAGTCCAGAGAGGCACTGATTGGTGTATGCAGATGAATGGTTTCTCAGCACAAACATCTTTGGCAGGATTGGGGAGGGGGGCCAAGAAAGTACATTTGGTTCCCTTGAGTGTATTCTGGCACATGCATGGGTATGCACCAGCTGCCATTCCTACCACGCTCTGTCCCAAAGAGGGCAAACCTCATGTTCTGGTTCAGTACCTCTACAGACACATCCACACTAACATTGAACCAGCCTGCTTGGGCTGGGGTGGGGAGGTGGCTGCATGAGGCTCAAGGCTATACAACCCCCTCGGGATCCTGGGGAAGGACTTCAGCAGTTAGCCAAGCCCAGCTCTGTACCCCTCCACTGAACTGTGACTTTGAACACATCATGGATGTATCCAGCGCTGCAAGTCTGACTCTCCATCTGGTCAGTGGCCATAAAGCAATGCCCAGCGGGCTCTGCACGGGGCTCAGTGAAGTGCACTACGAACAACTTCCCAAACTCTCCCAAGGAGGTTCCCCTTGTCTGTACATCCAGAGAAGCTGAGAGACTGATGGACCATGAAGAACCAACTTCTATGGCCAGCACATGCAGAAAGCCTCTTCCAGCCTGTTGCAGCTGTTCCTGTTTTGTAGTAAGAGGGTTAAAGATTTGAGAGTGTCTTGTATAATGGATTCAGTTTAGGCTTTCAGTTTTTTGAGGGACTTTACATACTGAAGACCACTAAAGGGTCTGTGTAGGCTCCTGCAAAGCGTTTTGGACTGTTTTCCATGAAAAGCTTAACAAGCCAGTGCTTGGACTATAAAGCATCCCTACCTGATTCCAACATATAAGAGAAAACTGGGCACCCCACTGCTGACAATTCTCCTTTATGTGGAGATTACAAAGAAGTACTATGAAGAACATGGGTGACAGGAAAGACTGAAAGCTTACCTGTGGCCGGGGGTGTCCTGTGACAAGACACTGCAGGACCAGTGTGTCCCCCTCCCGAATTGTATAAACACGTTCACTGATGTTGTCTTCCTTCACCACGCACGCCTGCCCAGCATGGATGATTTGGGCCTGAGCAGGAGCTACAGAGAGGAAAGAAGAAGTAAAGTGGAAAACAAGCAGCATCCCACCCCCTTATGCCCACTGCCCAGGGTGGCTGCTCCTACGGCAGGGTGGAAGCCACAGATGGGAAGAGCCAGATGGTGCTAGATATGAGACACAAAGGTCTCAGAAGATATAAAATCGGAGTTATTTTCCCCATCTCCTGGGTAGTGGGTATCAACTGGTATTTTAAAACCTTTGGTCCTGTTGGTATGAGCAGCTCTAGGCACTGAAAAGCAGAACATGGACCTTTTTTGGGGGACTCTCCTGCATGGGCTGAGGAACAAAAATTCCCTTCTCTCTTCTCTCCCAGAGAGAAGTATGTGCAAGTGGTTAAATCAGGGACCTGGTCAAATCAGAACTGCTTTATGCCTGTCTAAAACAGGCCTGATTACTATGATTTACCTTGCAGGGGACTGTGATAACTACTGAGCAGTGTCAGAAAAGGCCTAAAAGCTCTATATAGCTGTTAGCACACATCCCTAGAACAGGCATAGCACACGCTGCAGGAGAAACAAGTCTTTCCCAAATTACACAGCAACCTATCTCAGCCCTGAGCCAGAAAAAATAGCCTCTGCGGGATCAGGGGACCCATAATCTCTAGGGATCTCTCCAGCTAGGTCTCCAAGTGGAGCTCAGTTACTGCCAGTCCAGCCAGGAAAACAAGTGAAGACCAGTGTTGTGGAAAAAATACATAGAAAGGAAGTTCCCCAAACAAAGTTTTAAAACTTCATGCCCCCCAAACGGCGAGTATGTCCCACTGTAGCCCTAACCAACAGCAGGGAGAGACAAGATCTAGGAGAGCAGGATTTTTTAAAGAAAAAAAGCTCCAGAGTCCTGTGCAGTCCTTGGGTCCCTACTCCAAAAGCATTTATGTGATCACTGAAGCGGCTGAGATGTATTGAAGGTGACTGTGCTGCCCAGCGGGACACCTGTGCTTGTTCAAGGGGAAAACTCCAGTCGCCCTTCAAGGAACAGAGAAACCCACAAACATGTCTAAGAATCAGTGCCTCAGTGAGAGTACCCCTGGGACTTCCTCGTCTTGCTACAATGCTTCCAGGTGACTCTGGAGTCACAGATCTAGCTTCCATTAGTGAAATACAACATGTACAAACAAACACTGAGGAGATGATCAAAGGGTTTAAAGCAACCAGCTTTAGCAAGACTTCTGAAACAAAGCACAGATTTTCCACATCCTGTTAAAACTGAACTGAGCACCCACTTTTTCCTTAAGGTTACCTGAGCTTCAAAGATTTTTTTTTTTTTTCATTCTTTTGGCATGACCAAAATGCTCTAAACCAAATCACCTAGTCAAGGGAAGTGCTCAGATTTATGCTGGTTTAATCCACCAGCAGCACAGACCTTGGGTAGGTTGGGCTCAGGGAGTGGAGGAGATCTGCCTTCTTTGAGGTCAGCCTGTACAAACTGGTGTCACCACAATGCACTGACCAAGCAGCAGTGAGAGAAGAGTGGACACAGGGCTACTGGGCAGCAAGCTGCTCTTTCTGCTGGGGCTTCACAGCCTGCCACATCCACCCAACACCCAGGCAGCAGCACTACACATGTTGCAAGCTACTCCCTGTTTCTGCATCTCTTCTGTCTTTCCAACATGGTGGCCCTTTGTTAAAATCATTAATTACTGTCCAAACTGTTGACAAACAGAAGCAATGTGTGTATTTGAATAATATGATGGCACAAACATGGACAAATTCCTCAGCTTCTCCTGTCTTCTCTTTCTGCAGGGCTCCCAGGAGTGTGGCTGCCATTGCTCAAGCATCATGGAATGCTGAAACTAACTGTCAAAGCTTCACTGATAGGACTGAGCAGATGAGTGATCTTCCCCTACCTGGATGGCAGAAGAGTCTTGTTGAACCCAGGAGAAAGCAGAAACCTACATATGTGCTTACATACATGTGTGTGTTTGTATACACATACATGTATGAATATAAATACAGATATGTAAATACATTAAATAAAATAGTGACTTATCAGGAAAAGACATTATGAATGCTTGTCAAGCGAACAGTGACAGAGGAGTAATTCAGAAGCCTACAGAACCTTTGCCAATACACCTTAATCCAAATGACAGTCTTGTGCTGTTTCAGCCCTCAGATCAGTCCTTTGTAGACCTGACATCACACCTTTAGTCCCACATGCACTGCAGAGCATCACTCACAGTGCTGAGACCCAGGCTGTGATGCTGAAGAATCCATGCTCTATGATAAAAGAGAGACCCTCTCCCTTCCCATCCTGTACCATATTTCCCCCACTCCCAACTTGTGCTGCCTGCATTTCAGTGGGGTCCTGGCACCCTGCAGCAGCAAAGCTCTGGTAAAGTCTCCACAGCCTCTGGGCTGCATTTGCCGGCTGGTGGCTTTATTCTCCCTTTGCAAACATGACCTTGCTGCAAAAACTAATTTCCAGCCACCCCATGGAGAATCACAGTATTTGTCTGCAGCTTTAGCTCCCAGTTAAATGTTTCCTAAAGTTGCTCTGCTGTACCCCACAGTCCTATACAATGTAAGTCTTTCAATTTACACTTTTTTCCCTTTGGCCATCCCACTTCCTTCATTTCACCTGTCTGTGTAACTCTCTCCTGCCACCTGCCTAAAGGCATTTCCATATGGGGAATTTCCACAGCAAAATCATTAGATACAGGATTTGAGAGGTTTTGTGCAAATATTCTGTTGCCAAAATACCTTACGGTAATTTGCTGGTGTATCTCTGAGTTTGATAGAAACATTGTTTAAACTAATCCTTATTTGGCACTACAAAGGATTATATGGTACTAGTCTAGAGCAAAATGACAACCCTAGGGATAAGCCCTGTGTCATAATTTTGTCCTCTTATCTCGAATTCTCCTTGGATTCACCGAGCTGTAACGAAGCTTACAAGCAAGGGTGTGCACATCTAGCTTTGTTCATAGGTGCCTTAACTTGCTTCTTACTATCACTAATAACTTTCAGCTGTATTCATTGGAAAGGGACATCAATTTAAGTGAATCCCCACTGCTTATGCTCTAACATTGCTCTTGCAATGATAGCACCAAGTTCCCAGTAGAATAACAACCATTTTTCCATGTCTTAAACCTATTAAAAACCCCAATCTCTCAAAAGGGAGCTCAGAAAGCCTGGGGTTGTCTCAAAGAAAAGCACTCAGGTAGATGGCATAGAAATCTGAGAAACTCTGCCTTTGGTTATAACTGGACATTAGTGAAGTGGTGGGGGCTGAGCAATGAACCAACCCAGCTCTTAGAAGACTGCATTAAATCACAAGATGAGACTCGGGAAGCTGTCTGTTCCAAGCTCAGCCTGCCACGTCACACAAAGGCTGGGAAAGTCACCTCATGCCATATTACAGATGGGCAGAGAGAGTGAGGATTAATTGCACTTTTAATGTGCTTGAACAGAAAGAATACATTATTGTTTGACATCATCCCAGGTCTCCTGGAGAATTTCAGCATGCAGACAGTTTGCACATTGCCAGCACAACAGGATGGCAGGACCATGCCTGTCAGAGTAAACAGTTTCACAGAAGGCCAGTAGAAGGATAAAGAAAGGCTGGAGCATGAGGGCAGGTACTGAAGACAAAGCAGTAATCTCAGCCATCCTCAGCAGTGCTCCACAAAGAACAGCCTTTGCATAGATACAACCTGCCCTAAATCCTGCTGGAGCAGAATCTCTCTCCTCAGGCAGGCAAACTTCAAGATAGAGGTCCAAAGAAGGCCTCTGATGACCTCTATGGGGGAAGTGGGGACAGGTTGTTCCCCACCCTTTTACGCCCAACATTGTGAGGGACAGATTGCATCATCACTTCCATTCCACTTTCAGGTAAGAGATCAACTTAAGGAAGGCTTCCAATACAGAGTCCTCCAGAAAAACTAGGACAGCCAAATATTGAGTGCCAGATGCTTTACAATGGAAAAAATTCAGACTCTGAACCTGCAGCATTAGGCCCTTCCTTGGGAAACGGCTGGCTTGAATGCATTTGGCCTCTGCACTGAGATTTCCTACTATGCTTGCACTTGATATATTTACACATTAAACCAAAAGGAAATTGGAGTGGATAAAATAACTTTATTTCTAGTGCAGCGTACTGTACAATGTTATTATTACCATAATCTGGAAAGTTTATGAGACTCTTGGTGCTTGAGGTTGCCAATATCATTAAAACACCGAAAAGGAGAGAGAAATGGTCTTTTGGAGAGGTCCAAGTAATCTGTATTTGGTTCACAGGTCTAGCCACTCATCTCTGAGCCCAAGACCCCGTTGCTACAATGACTGGCAATGACGAGAGCTCCTTCACAGAGAGGGTGGCGAGTGACAGATACTGCATTGACACTCCTTCAGTCACAGTCAGCAACTGCAAGGGCAGGCTGCAACACAGCATCCACTGCACTTTTGTGCTGCCTTCTCAGCCTAACACTAGCCATCACTGTTAGACTCTGCCCCACCACCACATTTGCCACCTGCACATGTCCTGCAGACAGCCTCAAAGATGAAGAACATGCATCTCCAAAGCTGCTGGCCCAGCAACCACAGGTACGCTGAATCCACCCACTGCTGCTGCCACCCTCTTGCAGGGTGGGGAGAAAGGGAAGCTGCACTTGGAGCTTTCCCTTTTCCCTGGGCTTTATCTACCACCCTGTTCTCAAGGCAAGAGATGCCCTCGCATACATCTGATGTAGTTATAATTCAGCTTCTTTTGCACATAAATTAGACAGAGAAGCCAGAGCCAGAGTCCTTCCCCATCCCTGTTCACAGGCTCCCTGGACTCTCATTGCTCGGTTACATGGGAGCAAGGAGGGATAGGGGAGGGCATCGGCTGCTAATCTGTTGTTTAAACCCCTCAAGAACTTGTCTGTTTCCTTCCCTCACCCTTCCTGTCCTGAGCAAGTAAGGGATGCATCTTGAAGGGAGTTGCCAGAAAGGAAAAAAATACACAGTGTTTATGGAGCACATGGGGCTGAATAAGCATTTCA